GGGGAGAGGGGCAAGGCATCTGGGAAGTCTTCTTCATGTAGGAACAGCAGCAGGAACACCAGATTGGCTCTACCACTGCATCCACACCTTGCCAACTTCCCCACCTTCTCCCCTCTGCTGCATGGTGGCACCTCTCCTTGACAGCCACCCCCACTTTCAAGGCAGCCAGGCAGTTCATGCAAAGAAGCATTAACCACTCAGTCAACCTCTTTCCAGCTACAGGGCCATATGGGCAAGGATCAAAGGTACATGAGGTGGGCCAAATTCCTTCGAGTGTCTTGTTCACATCATTAGGTCCCCATCAGAACTGAATCTGACCCCACCCAACTTGACATTGGGCATCTCCTCTAGACCTGTATGAACTGCAGATCAGAGGAAATGTGAGCGTCTCTGCTGTAAAAGTGCTTGCCGATTTGTCACAGGGAGGCTGCTCACCAGACAGAAGTTTGTTCTGAGGGAGCCGCTCACCTGACCTACCTTTCGAAATTGTTCTGTTTTTTCCCCCCCAAAAAATTGTATTGGTTTTCACAACATTATAAACAAACAAACACATAAGACAAACAAACATAAATCATAGCCTTGTTGAAAATTACACTTATTAACATTGTTAAATGACTTCCTCGCTTCCCCTTGGTTGAATTTCATTGCATATCCTTTTAACGGCTTTCCAAATCACAGTTCTTATAAAATTTAACTTAAACATTAACATCCTTAGATCTTCACATTATGAAATCAAACATATTAATTCATCACTTAACATAAATAAAATCCTAAGCCAATTAAGTATCTGCAAGCTATTTTCAGTTAATTTAACTTAACATATTTAATTAAGTAATCATTAAATTTAATCCACTCTTCCTGATACTCCTCCTCCTTCTGGTCGCGGACTCTTCCGGTTAGGTCGGCTAGCTCCGAAAAATCCATCATCTTCATCTGCCATTCTTCTATCGTTGGTAATTCTTGGGTTTTCGACTTTTTAGCTAACAAAATACGAGCAGCAGTTGTTCTAAATTGTTCTAAGAGCTACAGGTACCTGCGGTTAGGTGGGCAGGTAAAGGTTTTTAATGGCACTCCGAAGTGAAAAGACAGTGAAACGTGCTCGTCAACTTTAACCACACTCATTTCTCAGTATATTCCATTGAAACCAGTGGGAATTTCAAGGAAATAAGTTGTATATTGAAGTGCCAGCTCTGTCTTGCTTGTGCGTCACACATTTCAGTGGAAACAAGGTTCCTGGTAACTCCATGTGGCTCATTAAAGCAATCCTCACATCTCTTAAAAACAAGGAAACTAGAATCCCGCTGAAGTCCAAGTATCCCTTCGCAATGCCAGTGCCTACTTCCTAGCACGCAGTGTAAGTGACTGGGTGGCAAGAACATTTTAGGCTCTGAGGGAAAAGGTTGCTAAGTCAACCTTGGTAACTTAACTGAAACCGTATATGTGTAAATCCATCGCAAATCCCTGGCCTTTTACAACTTTTGTCCCTATGGAAATCAGATCATAAGGCTGTTTACAAGAGACTACGATTCATTTGGCTAAAGAGCCATGACAGCAGGACCCTTAGTATTATTTGGAATTGCAGTAACTTAATCTTAGGCAAATAGCCCGAAAGCAAAATAATAAGGATTAGGTAATTATGGCAAAGTAATCACTTTCAATATTTCATATTCAAAGAAGGGCATAATTTCACTGTAAATGTCATGTTTTGGCATTTTGGCAATCTATTGCAATTTTTCACAATGTTTAACAAAATGTCAACATTTCCACCTTTATTCCTCCTTCAGATTTTGAGATTTTTGAGCTGCAGTCTTTTAAACCATTGAAAGCAGCCTCATAAAAATATTTTACTGCATGGCTTAATGTATGAGCTAATCCTAAATTAATGGTCAGTTTTAGCCATTATATTCCAGAAAAAAGGGAGGGATATCTTCACAAATCCTCTGTTCAGAAATAATTACCTCTTCCAACTGGAGTAGAAACGGGTGCTTTAAAAATCCAGTAGTAAAGGCCCATAATATTGGCATTTGGAGCGAATACAGTTTGATCAGCACTTTGATTAATCTTCCCAAGATCATCATATATATCCATATGCTTGGGAGCATCATCTACATTGGACACGTTGTGTCTTTCTTTTTTCCACCACAAATCTCTTAGAAATATTTACTGCAAACAGATGGGTGTAAAATATCGGCCTGAAGGAGTTGCCTTAAAATTTCTGTCTTTGAAAAACATTAACGTTTCACTACATAAAATGTTCCAGTTAATTTTTGTAAACTGTGAACTAGAGGACAGACTGTTCTTTGCCATTTTCTTTTTTAAAACCAACACCTTCCCTAATTATCAACATTCTCTGAATCTGGCATCCCATGTTTCTCTTTATGCCATTATAATCCTGTATAGTTTTCTTAGATTGCATATTTGTTAGCTTTTTTCGTAAGCTGCCTTTCTGTCCAGCACAATGCATGACTTACAACATGTAAGAACTTCAAAATACATAATTGCATAGACACTGATTATACTGAATTTGAGAGACTTTGCCTTGGTACATCTTATATGGTGGGTTTTCTATGATTTCGAGTCAACCAACCTCTTCCCAGCCTTATATGATACTCATTATACCACAGCTTGGCAGACCTTATCACACTTTATCCCCTAAATGAACCATAGTCTCTTGCAAACAGCCTTGTGATATGCTGACCATAGGGATAAAAGTTGCAAAAGGGCCAGGGATTTGTGGTGAATTTACAGGTATGCATAGAATACGTTCAGCCTAAGAGAGCAGCATTTTTTTTAAAGAAAGAGAATTTTCTGATTGTGAAGCAGCACTGATGTTCACCAGCTGTTTAGATTGGGGAATGATAACAGTCCGGGGGGGCGCTAGGGGCGCATTGGAAGATGGCCGACAATACCATCTCTCCGGCTCACACGAGGTAATTAAGAGGCTGATACGGGAGTATGCAGCCTCCCTTGTTACCCCAAGGGAATGGGGAACACTGCCTTGCCTGCGATTGCCATACAATCACCCCAGATTCGAAAGAAGGGGGTGAGGCAGTAGGCACACAGCCCTCGTGGGAGACCGCTCTCCCTGAAGCTGTCTCCTGATCACGCGTACTGGCTGCAGGAGCTCAAAATAAACAATTAGAGAGAAGCAAATGCACATATTTCGAGTGAAGATCGAGAGATAAGACTGCTAATTAAAGTGATCTCTATGAAGTGGAGCAACGGGCTGGACTCAACAATAAATCAAGAAGAAGATTCATCAAAGGATCGGTATGTCGGAGCAGGACTGGAAAGGGGGGGGGACTTTTCTTTTTTTATCTTATGTGAGTACCTAACAACCCTCCCCCCAAGAAAGAATTGTTGCAATTACTGATTACAAGCAGGATAATTAAGAACTGTGTGGAAATAAATTACTAATCAAAGACATGGCTTGTGGGAACATCGGGAAAGGAATGAAAGCTCTTTGTGACACAGTTAAAAAGAGATTTGTTACGGCAGGATGACCGTAACAAGGATGGCCGAGGGGGAGGAGGACCATGGCTTGTTATTATACCGGACTGTGAGTTTGACCTGGCAGGGCCCCCTGAGA